GGGTATAGATATGTTCTGAAGAGCAGGTCCTAGCATACAAGGCTCCCTAAATCCCACCAAATGGAATGGCTTAACAGAGAGGACCTGAATCATGCCTACTCTGTCCAACCATTACAGTCTGGCAGAAACTAAAAAAGACAGACAGTCCTTTAGATAACCACTTCAGCTCATGAAGTAAATTATACCATGTCTATAATCGCCCATGCTGTTGAATTATATACCAGGTGAAGTTTCTGGGTGGCTTTCAAGGACAGCTTTATGTAGGGTGCACTGCAAAATTCCATGTTCAGGTTTACCACACCATGAGTGGCAGTTTAAAGACACAATTTGTATACATGATGCATATGTGGAAAGGCATCCTCAGTCACAGCTGCTACTTGCTTCTCAAGTATTTTTCCCCGCCAGCTGAAGCAACCCATGCCGAAACCAGCTGAGAGCCGGAATGGCTTTCTGCAGCCGACAGTGCTAAGTGGCTTCGAGGCTGGAGAAGAAGGTGTAAAGCAGCCTCTGCTGAAGCTTTTCCAGCTGCGGAGCTTCAGGTGGTTCCTGAGGTAACGCTCTTCAACTCCTCGCTCAAATCGGCTGCTAGCAGCTTGGGTGGCTCTGCTCCGTCCAAGCTGAAGAAAGCGGAGGCCAGCAGAAAGCAGCTTTAAGTGAGGAGAAGAGCGTTTCCTCAGGAACCGCCCGAAGCTCCGCAGCTTTGAGTCTTTCAGTCTTTTTCGTAATAGCAATAGCAATAACACATAGACATATACTGCTCCACAGTGCTTTATAGCACTCTCTGAGCAGTTTACAGAGTCAGCATATTGCTCCCAACAATCTGGGTCCTCATTTTAGTGACCTCTGAAGGATGGAAGGCTGAATCAACCTTGAGCCAGTTAGAATCGAATGCCTGGCAGTGGGCAGGGTTAATGTGCAATACTGCATTCTAACCACTGCGCCACCACTGTTCCTTGATCTTGTTCAAGACAAGAGTAAAATTTGCTCCTGGGAGGATTCCACAGGATTGAATCCTAAGACTGATTCTTTTTGAGCTACAAACATTTCTGGCCCAAGGTCTGAGTCTCCACAGTGCCTTTACAATATCAAATTAAATTTATCCTGCTTTCATCACTCTAGCTGAGCAAGCTCCTTTTTTGTATAAGACCACATCTACGACAGGATGTGACAAGCGCAGGGAAGGAAAAAAGTTCTACTCATGATTTATGTGAGTGTCAAGAACAAAATAATTTAAGACTTGGCTTCCCTCAAAGGGAGAGTCTGACATGAAGGACATTACTGTTGGCCTCAACCTTCACATGCTTTCCTTTATTGGAAGCTACAATGTGTGTTTGTATATTCCTATGAGCAATGTTAGCAATGATCAGTAAATCAGGTTTTTTATAATTTGAGTAGAAAAAATATTTATTTCATTGTAGGACAAGCCTCCCATCTGGCTAATTAGAGGGGAAGACTCAAAGACAAGTATTCTTCGCATGTATGCCTGGCAGAAGGAAGCCATCTCAGCTTATTTATTTATATTTATTGTACTATCTACTCAAGCGAGCCAAGGAGGTTGAAAAAAATCCATGCAATCCAAGTTTAAATTTTTTTTTAAAAAAAAAAATCCTTTTACAATCTGGTTGTGGCTTCTAATTCATTCCCCTAAAACCCTAAGGAAAAGGGTGGTCTTCAGTGTTACAATTATCAATCTTTTACAGGCAAAGAAGGAACACCAATATTTTAAAGCAGTTTTGCCAAGTTTTTCCAGCTTGGCAACTTTTAAGGTGTGAACTTCAATTCCCAGAATTCCTTAGCCCAGACATGTTAGTGAATTCTGGGAATGGAAGTCCTCGCGTTTTACAGTGGCCAAAGTTGAGAAACGCTGGTTTAAACTCTCTATCCACACGCCGTGTTCCCCTGCCGTTAAAAGGTCACCAAGCGCCGAAGCGTCCGCGCCGGTGGATTTGCACCTCCAACGCGAGATCGTTCCCCATCCATCTGAAAAAGGCTGGCCGACAGGGCCCTGGCATTTTACGTTACGAGCCCCGCCCGCCTCAGGCTCTTCCTCCAGAAGCGGAAGCCTAGAGGACGTCGAGGCAATCCCCGCGTGGGGTTCCGACCGGAGTCCGCTATCGCCACCTGGCTCTTCAGACCTCCGGTGCCCTGGCAGGTCGCGCCAGGGAGGCAGGCGGAGATGAAACGCACCGCCTCCTCCTAGCCCCAGAGGGAGGTAAGGCCGGGAGAGAGAGGAAGCTGAGCCAGGGCCCGGAACCGCAGAGCAGCGCGCTACCGTGGGAGGAGAAGCGCATCATGCTCACCTGACCAGCTCCGAGTCGTCGCTGCCAGCGGCAAAATCGCGAGGAGACACGAAAGGCGTAGTCGTTGTCGCGACATGGCTCAACGCGCAGGAGGACCGAGAAGCGTTGGGATGCGGCGCGCGCAGCGGAGGGGCGCGTTCCAGGGCTCGAGCGCAAGCTCCGACCGCTGCGGGGAGAGAGGGGGGGGGNGTTAAAGATGTCATATAAAACAACAGGAATAAAAATG